ATTTCGCGTCATCCAATAAGGTCTGTCGTTTGAAAAAATCCCTATATGGTTTGAAGCAAGCAAGCAGATGTTGGAATTTGAAGCTGGAATCAGCCTTAAAGTCCTATGGCTTGCGTCAGTCTAATGTCGACCAATGTATATTTTTTAAACCAATAGTTGATGCGAGATCAACAGTTCTGATTGTAGCGATTTATGTTGACGACATGATTGTGTTGTCAAATTCTCAAGATGACAAATTAAATTTGAAACATCATCTAATGAGGAATTTCAAGATGAAAGATATCGGTACTGCAAAATATTTTCTAGGAATGCGAATAATAAGAGATAGAGCGTCAAGAAAACTTTGGCTGGATCAAGAAATGTATATTAAAGAAATGCTAAAACGGTTTAAAATGGAAGATTGTAAGCCAGTCAGTACTCCGATGTCTAATAAAGATCTTCTTACTAAAAGTATGTGTCCAAACAATGATGAAGAGAAAAAGGAAATGTCTGGGGTCCCGTATCAAGAAGCTGTGGGCAGTATATTATATGCATCCCAAGTTTCAAGACCTGACATAAGTTTTGCAGTGAATTCCGTAAGTCGCTTCAATAATAATCCAGGTAAACCTCACTGGGCAGCTGTAAAAAGAATTTTTCGATATTTGAAAGGTACACCTGATACCAAATTATTATTTTCTGTGAGTGACGAAGCACAAGGAGATATTTTTGGCTTCAGTGACTCTGATTGGGCTACTGATTTGGATGAGCGTCGATCAGTAACAGGTTACCTATTTACTAGAAATGGGACGGCTTTGTCTTGGAATTCTAAAAGACAACCCACTGTTGCGCTGTCTACAACCGAAGCCGAATATATGGCTATGACTTCTGCGGCTCAAGAAGCATTGTGGTTAAGGCAGTTAGATTCAGAAATTCGGTCAGTAAGTAAACCCATGATCCTGTACATGGATAATAAAAGTGCCATACATTTAGCTTCCACGACAACTTATCATCCCCGCACGAAACATATCGACGTAAGATATAATTTCATAAAAGAAAAAATTAAAGATGGTTTACTGAAACTAGAGTATATACCGACAGAATTGATGGCAGCCGATTCTCTAACAAAACCTCTGGATAAGCCAAAATTTATTGCTTGCGGTAAAAAGCAAGGACTTACATTTTGATGGAGGAGTGTCGCTATAGTTACTCAAAATGTAATGTCGTTACTATAGTTTATATATTATATTTTTTGTATCGGCTATCTAGTAGTTGATTGTATTGATTGATAAAATAAAAGTGTCAGAAGTTAAATATTTTATTTAAAATATATTTTGAGTTTCCACTGTTGAAAGCCACTTTGCTAGAAAAACTTTATTATTAGGCATTCCAACGACCTATCAAACAATAGCTGCCAGTGGAAAGGGCTCGTAAATCTAAGTGGGTTGCAAAATACTCTTCCATTTTGGACGATATTTTTATTTTAAATAGTATTCGTCAAGCCTGCCAATTTATAAAAATGTATAAGCTGTTTTTTAAAAATAATATTTTCATTGTGTTCGCCAGAAAATATTTAAATTCAATCCATTATTTATGATTTCACGTATTGCAGAGAGACTATATAGTATGTCGCAATCCTTAGACATACCAAACCTTAGCACCGCGTTTCATTTGTTTGGAATGCCTAATAACTGTAAATAACAGTAAATCGCAATTTATTTTTTAATTTTTTTTTAAAGAAAACCCCAATTTTTATTGAATATTTTTGGATATGAATTTTTATTGAAAATGTTCTGTCAATTGTCAGAATATTGAATAATATTATTTCTAAATGTATTAATAATAACTCGTTTATAGAAAAATATATAGGAATTCATAATCTATAAAACTCTTTGTAAACATTAATGTTCCAATTGATACTAACCCAAGTTACACCAGTGACGTATCTTAACATAACTGTTCTGGTTCTGGTAGCAGTGTATTCGTACCAGTCGCGGCGATCGGTAATATTTTGCAAGCGAATATGGATGATTCAAAATTAATTGAGCTAGTGAGCCAACACCCATACCTGTACAATCTACAAAATGATCAATATGAAGATATACAATTCAGGGATAATATTTGGATGAAAATATCAGAAGTATTACATATTTTGAAATCAGTTTTTCTCACTATTTTACTACCAATATCAGTAATAACTATTCCTCAACTTCCTGTTTATTTATTTGGGACACAAACAAGACAAACCCAGAACAGTGTCCACTAAAAATATACAAAGAATGATTAATTAATCAAAAAAAGAAGTTTAACATTAAAACTATGCTACAAATTAAATGCAAGGTACTTAGATATCTATAACAAGCAATATAAGTGAACAATTGTTATAAGTTTTAAAATATAAATTAAATTTATATTCAAAAAAAAGTATGTCATAAATGTAAAAAGTGAGTCATAAGTGCATCTTTAAGCTTATAAAAATTGAGGAGAAAAATGTCAATGTAAACAGTATTCGACAATTTATTGTGTTAGTAGCCCTATGAAGGGGCGAATTTAAATAGTAATTTTTGATGCCTGATTTACGAAAAAAGTATAATAATTTCTCCTATTATAATTAGGAGTAACAATTCGAATAAGGTTCATTATTTCAATACAATCAATTCTGTTATTTAAGATCCTGTGAATGAACATGCCATTTGCTCAAGACTAATAATTTTCAAATTAAAACGGATATTTCGTCTTTCTGATATATGAGGGTATTTTTTTTTTGTCAATAAGAAATAAACTTATTTTGAATGGATTCTAATTTGTCAATATAAATCAAGACGCGTGGATTCCAAATGACAGAGCCATACATGATAATACTGCTGACATAGGCCATGTACAAGGTTCTGACAGTATGTGGGTTTTTTAGTTCAAAACAAGATCTAAAGATAAAACCTAATTGTCTGTGTGCCTTATTGGATACATTATATATATGCTTATCAAAAACACTAGTTTACAAAATTTTACTTTTTGTCGGTTGCCGCGAATTCTGTGGTTGATAATATTCATTTATGACTTGTTTTTGTCAAATCTAACCTCAACATTTTTTGAGCAGCTCCAGTTACTTTGTTTTAAACGTATATATTAATCGATAACAGGCGTATTTTACTGTGTTAAGATTAGTATCTAAAGTTTTTGCGTCATTAGTAGTTCAAGGAGACGTTGTTTGAACAGTCCAGATCATTTTTGCTATATATGCGAATATATGTTTAACGATTGTAGAAAAGTAATATCAAAGTTGGTGTAAAATACCTATTTTGAGTATTTTGGGATGCTCTTGGATAAAAATAAGAAGTCTTTGGCCCCCAATTGTGTTTGAAAATCGTTTGTGGAATATTTAAGATTGTGGAAACGTGGTAAAAGAAATGCCTTTAAATTTGAAACACCGACTATTTGGCGAGAACCACGAAATCATCTCGAAGACTTATTTTTGTTCCGTGAACGTAAACGGTTTATAAACACTAAAAATCGAGCTAAATGGCAGTACCCAAGTACTAGTTGTGTTCAACGTCCATTGCAGCGTTCACCTGACTCTGCAGTGCCTAAAAATATATCTGAACCCTTAAGGAACATTTACATCTGACATTTATTGCATGATATTTATGTCTGACAGTTGTTTAGTCCAGTGTAAACACACAAAAATTTCTCTCGGACATATATTTTTGAGTGTTTACACTGGAATAAACAACTGTCAGACATAAATATCATGCAATAAATGTCAGATGTAAACGTACCTTTAGAACAATACATTGAAGGATTCAAGCTCATTTCAAAATGATGCTGATTTTAAAGGTATATCAAATGAGCCAAAATGCTTTTTCAAAAATGAGTTAGATGATCTTGTAAGAGATTTAAATCTCTCTAAACAAGCTTCAGAATTGTTAGCATCAAGACTGAAAGAAAAAAATTTGCTTTCCTCAGATACTAAAATAAGTTTTTATCGTGAAAGAGATAAAGAATTACGGCGTTATTTTTCCGAAGAAAACGGTATTACCTTTTGTTCAAATATTAAAAACTTATTAATCAAAATGGGCTTGGAATAATACCAATCAAACGACTGGCGTTTATTCATTGACAGCTCAAAACGTAGCCTAAAATGTATTCTATTACATAATGGAAATAAATACGCTGGGGTACCTATTGCCCACAGTACACAGTTAAAGGAAGAATATTGTAACATTTCGCTAGTCTTGAACAAAATAAAATACAGTGACCATAAGTGGCAAATTTATGTCGATTTAAAAATGGTGAACATTCTTCTCGGTCACCGAAGTGGTTACACTAAGTTTCCCTGTTTTATATGTCTTTGGGACAGTAGAGCTAAACAAAAGCATTGGGTAAGAAGAAATTGGCCTTAAGGAGAAAATATGAAGTCTGAAAAGCAAAATATACTCTAGAATTCATTAGTAGCTCGCGAAAAAATTATTCTTCCACCATTACATATAAAACTGGGCATCATGAAGCAGTTTGTTAAATCACTAGACGGAAACTGCTTTTCTTACATTTGCCAAAAATTTCCTCAGCTCACTGTGGAAAAGATTAAAGCCGGTATTTTTGATGGCCCCCCAAATTAGACAACTTACGAAAGATACTCAATTTATAAATTCTATGACTAAGTTAGAACTAAAGGCTTGGACAACTTTCGTCTCGGAAATAAAAAATCTGCAAATTACATTGAACTTGTAGAAGACCTTCTTCTACAATTAAAAAATATGGGGTGCGATATGAGCATAAAACTCCACTTCCTCCATAGTCACCTGGACAGGTTTCTGGAAAATTTAGGAGATATGAGCGAAGAGCAGGTACTTGTTATAATTTATTGCCAACATAAGAGTCGAGCCATCTTAGTAGACTACTGTGTTTCTACAAAATAAAGCTTAAGAAATTTAACAATCCGTAGACAAACATTTACGGTATGTTGTTCCTACAACTAAATGTACTTTCTACATTCTAAATAAAAAAATATATAATATTCTACATACCAAGGTTAAGGGGTGCTTCGGCAAACTATCTGTAACTGGTTGATCCATTAAAACAGCTCTAAGGTGTGCAATATAACTCGTTGCTAAACGTAATGTATCCAATTTCGATAATTTGGTATCAGCTGGGACCCAAGGAAGTGTCGTTTTTAAACGACAAAAGGCTTTACTGAGCACCCTCATACGAGCCCTCTCACGTTCGTTGGCAGCATTGCGTTGAGGACGTTTCGTCTCGTCGTTGTCGTCTTCAGAATCGGTCTCTGTGCAACGTCTCTTGCGTGGCATTCTGAAATTTAAAATAAAGAAAATACAGACTTTTTAAAAATAAGTGTAATAAATAAATAATCACATTCAGGTCTATGTCTTTTGACGTACATTGAAAACTTAACTCACGCAGACGAAGAATGAGCTTAGTATGTATTTAAATGCATTTCCCATACACAGGGTGATTTTTTGAAAAGGATCCACCCTCGATAACTTCGTTCTCGTCTTGATTCAGGTAAAATCCAAAAACAGGTCGATTTGTATCTTTAGGGGGACACATTTTTAGATCACAACTGATTTTGTCGGATCAACCCCATGGCTCCACCAGCCCCCACCTCAAAATCCTTCAATAGCAAGGGGGGCCGAGTGACCCCTCGTTGGAAAGGTTTTTGCATTTACCTTACGACCATGTAAGAATTATTTCGTTTTGTACAGGGTGGTTCAAGAAAAAAGACAAATTGCAATAAATAGACTTAAATTACATATATCATAATAGATTTTTAAAATGACCACCGTTGAGAATAATAGGAATCCTTCCTCATTCAACAATTTATCTCCTGTCGTAAATTCACTTAAATTTTTTGCTTCAGTTTTTAAAGACGCTCTCGCTCTTATTGTATGCATTTTTATTTGCAATTTTTTGCGCATCTTTACAAGCCGTTTTGACGGATTAGATTTAATTAAAGTAGTTTGCAGTGAGTTGGTATGTCAATTGATTTATTCCCTGTAAAATGGTTTACACTATTGCCGAGCGGGTAGAAGTTATTTTCATTTATGGCGAGGAGCAGAATTGTGCCCGCGCCACTGACAGAGTTTTTAATGCAGACATCCAGATAAGCGAATGGAGCACAAATATGTCACGCAACTTGTGCGGAAGTTTCAAGCAACAGGATCGGTGAAAAATATGAAGTGAGAAGATAACATTATAGTTAATGAAATGGCACAGATTGAAGTGGTGGGGAACTTTACTTTCGATCCAACCAGTTCTTTGCGTCAGATTGCTACGACCACTGGACTTTCGTATTCATCGGTACGCAAAGTGACAAAACTTTTTAAATTCCATCCCTATAAAATGAAGATACTTCAGGAGCTTGTGGACGATGCTCCTGATAGGAGATTACAGTTTTGCGAAATTATGACGGAAATGATAAACGCAAACTCAAACCTCATAAAAAACATTTGCTTTAGTGACGAATGCAGTTTTTTTCTGCATGGCGCAGTCAATAAACAGAATGTCCGATATAGGAGTGATGAGAATCCTCACATTTTTAAAGAGGGGCATACTCAAGCTCCTCAGAAATTAAATGTATAAGCAGGAATACTAGGCGATGCGGTAGTCGGTCCGATTTTCATTAATGAGACTTTGACTGGCGAGGTATATTTAGAGCTGCTGGAGGATATCATAGATCCTTTGATAACGATTGAAGTTGAAAATCAGCGGAATTAAGATGGAAATCTTGTACTTGAAGAAAATGAGCTTTTTTTTCAGCAAGATGGAGCCCCACCTCACTTCGCTGTGAATGTTCGGAACTGGCTGAATCAGAGATTTCCGCATCATTGTATTGGCAGGCGGGGAGCAATAGAATGACCTCCACGGTCACCAGATTTGACAGGACCAGATTTTTTCCTCTCGGGGCACCTAAAATCTGTGGTCTTCAAAACTCAACCAGCAGATTTAGTGGAGTTGCGACAACGAATAACTGACGCATGCAGAAGAATCCCTAGAGCAGTGGTCGCCAACCTGTCGATCGCGAGCTACCGGTAGCTCGCGGAGGCAATTCTGGTAGCTCTCACAACGATTTTAATTTAAAAAATACAAACTGCAAAAATAAGAGAAGCTTCCGAAAATTCCAAAAAAAAATCTAATTGTCATAATATTAAACATAAACAGCGGCAACGTTGCGATGAGCGATCTGCCGCTGACGCCATCAAGCTAGAACCGCCGGACCAGCGCGTTAGTGTTCGAAAACGATCAGGATTGCTTTGAACGGGATAAATACGTACGGCGCGGCGACATTGCGCTTAGTTTAAAACTAAACGCGTATCCAACATCCAGCGGTTGGGTTAGTAGAGAACAACAAAAAATAATATTATGACAAGCAGTTGTAAGAAGGTAAAGACATACCACTTTCATTCGGAATGGGAAGAACAATACTTTTTTACAGAAGTTAAAGATAAAAATGTGTATTTGTTATGTAATACTTCGGTCTCCGTTGCTAAAATAGGAAATATTGAGAGACATCATAAAACTGAACATTCTAATTTTGAAAAATCATTCCCACTACATTCTGCCGCCAGAAAAGAGAAACTGATACAGTTGAAAATAGTGATGCTGCGAGACGAGAGATTCTCGTCTCTCGTCTCGTCTTGTCTCGTCTCGAACGAGACGAGAGAGATATTTTCTCTCGAAAACAGATTCGAGACGAGACGAGAGAGTGTCATCTCTCGACGAGAATTTCTCGTTTTTCTCGAGCTCTCTCAGGCTCTCTCGAACAATTTTCTCTTTGCTTATTTGAAATTTTCAATTCCTTATCGTAACTTAAAATTTTAACATATTAGATTTCGAGATAGTCAAAAAATTAACTATAACACACCTATTCCATATATATTAAATGGTAACAAATGATACTTGTGTTATTAGGATTTTATAAATAGTTAGTGATTTATCAGAAAAAATATTTCTCATTTCATTTATTTAAAATTTATATAATCATTTCTTATATTTAATCCACTTTGCTTTTCTGAGGTTACTTTTGAAGATAAGTTGAAAATTTTTAGGCATTTTTTCGAAAAACTGTCAAAGAAAAGGTAATACAAACAAATGTATTATATACAGTGAGGATGAAAATTGTACCCTCCTCTATTTTAACTTCTAAATGAAAAAGGATAATGACAAAACAAAAGAGATATAATATTTTTGTTATAACGAGATGCACTTTACTTGAGATAAGTAAGATAGAGGAGTTAACTAGCTTTAAATTTTCTAATGGAAAGTAGGGTCATGTGATATCTCATTTGAAAGATATTTTCTATATTTTTACGTTCATGTAAACAGATTTAAGTTTTTATGTGTTTACAGAAATTACATTAAATAAATTCATAAAGTAGGTTAAATTCTTTTTTTTTATTTACGGCTTCAACCTCAAAGGATCATTACCGGAGGTATAATACCTTATAAATGCTGTTTTTTACAATAGTATACAATGGATAATTAACATTTTGGCTAGTACAGAGTAAATGTCAATATCTTTTATAAATTTAAGTAATTTTTTACTGTTAAAGGGATTTAATACTGCACCAATGGCAATTTTTTATAGCTGGTACTTTGTTCTTATACACACATGTTTTGGGCCTTTACTAATAAGTTACATTCTTGATAACTCTCGTATTAACAATTATTATTTATTACTAAGGAAACGCTTCTTGTATTTACTAAAATAAAAAAATTTTTCATAACTTCTTGGCAAAAAAAGCTTATTAAAAAACTATCTCCTAACATTATCTAACATTTCTAGGATTATTGCGGCACACGAGGATTATCAAAAATGTAATTTTTGTAAAAACAAAAAAAAATTAAAACTGTTTGCTTGGACGTAAATATAATTAAAACATCTTTCAAATGAGGTATTACATGACTTAACTTTCCATTAGAAAATTTAAAGATAGCAACGCCCTCTATTTTACGTCTCAAGTAAAGTGCATCTCATTATAACAAAAATATCATAATGTTTTTTCTAATTTCACATCGTTTTTGTTTTATGTCTTTATGTTCTTGCATTTTGAAAACATACAACAAAATGCTGTCATTTGACATCGCAGGTTTACATTAGAAAAATTCTAACTTCCAATTTAACCTCTTCCCCCCTCCCCCACTGACTTACAAGACAAAGTATTTTTGTTTTTAGATAACGCCTAATCTGGGCCACTTAATAATTCAAATTTCAATTGTACCAAATTTGGGTACAAATTACTTGAAGAATTTTTTGTTTTTGTATTACAAATGTTACCGTTTTTTCATGTTTCGTCTTTTTCAAATTTAAATTTGATATTGTTTTATCACGAGAGAAACGAGACGAGACAAGACGAGAGAAAGGCTCTCTCGAGCGAGAGAAGCGCCTTCTCGTCGAGACGAGAGAACAGTTTTCTCTCGCCCTACGAGACGAGAGAGGCCATTCTCTTGTTTCGTCTTGTCTCGCGGCATCACTAGTTGAAAAAGCAGTTAATTGGACAACAATCAATATTTTTAAGAACAGTCGACAAAAATAAGGCTGCAACTGAAGCATCATACCATGTGTCCCAGATAATTGCACAAAAAAAGAAACCTAATGAAGACGGGGAAATGATAAAACAGGCGTTTTTAGAAGCTGCTGATTTGTTATTTGCCAAATTTAGAAGTAAAGACGAGATAGTTTCAGCTATAAAATCTATGTAACTTTCTGCTAATACAGTGATGAGACGTGTAGAAGTAATGAGCAATGATATTTTTTTACAGTTAAGAACTGACTTAGATAACTGTGTTTATTTTTCATTTCAACCCGATGAATCAACAGATGTCGTTGACACTGCCCAGATGGTCGTGTTCGTCAGGATGGTTTTTAGTGATTTTACGATTAAAGAAGATCTTTTAAAGTTTATTTCACTGAAAGGACACACTACTGGACAGGAGTTGTTTTCTCATTTAAAAAATATTATTTCTTCCGAGAAAATTCCAATATCGAAAATGGTAGGCTTGACAACCGATGGCGCTCCAGCTATGGTGGGTTGTGATAAGGGTCTGGTGGCGTTGTGTCGTAAAGATGAAACTTTTCCGCAATTTCTCTGTTACCACTGCATTATCCATCAGCAAGCATTATGTGGAAATTTCCTGAAACTACACAACGTTATGAAACTGGTGGTAAAAATTGTGAATAAGATTAGAGCTCAAGCGTTACAAAGAAGTTTATTCAAAACCTTGGCCGATGAAGTTGACTGTCAATACGGGGACCTACTCCTTCACTCTGAAGTCCGATGGTTAAGTAGAGGACGGGTGCTGAAACGTTTTAATGATGTCCTATCTGGCA